GTTGGAGGGTGGAGATGAGCTTGATGGCTCTGTCAACTTTGTGGGGACAGTTTTTGGAAAAGTGTCCCTTTTTCTTGCAAATGAAGCACCGTTGATCTTATGCTTTTCCCCTGAACTTCTTTTTCTTAAAGAATTTTAAATTATTTTTCTTCTTTTTTCTGAAAATGGGTTTTTCTTTCTTTTTCTTCACCTTGCAGGTTCCTGGACAAGGCTTCTTGCATTTAATCTCCAAATAAGGTTTCTGACAAGCTTTGCTGAATTTGCTTTTCTGAGTCATGATGTCTGAGAAGAACTCATGTTGTCTGCATAGCTTATCAACAGCTTCTAAAGTCATCTGGTGAATTTGTCCCATCGTCAGAGTGGTGAAATCTTTCTGGATAGATATGGTCATTCTGTTTAGTTCTGGTTGTATTTCAACAGGAAGAGATGCGACATATGTATTCTTTAAACTAGGATCATTGAGCCCATTGAGATGATAGAATCTTTTGCTCATTCGCTGGTAGTGTTTTTCCAAGTCTTTGATTTTTATTGAGCAACATCTCATTTCGAAAAACTCTTGTCTGAGTTTTTTATCAATGATTGATCCGTCACCTATGAATTCTTCATGTAAAGCTCCGAGTACTGCTGCGGTTTGACCCAATTCATGGAACTGGTTCTGTCTAACGACTCCCAAGTTATGATACCATCCTTTAAGTGTTCCTGTCATTCTACAGCAGAACTTCTCAATCACTTTATAAGAGTCAGAATTGTTGACTAATTTGGTATCTAACCATGCACCAAATTCGATTAATCTGGCTCTCCATTGGCTGGGAGGAATATCATCAATAGTGAACCAAGGTCCACCATTTGTCTTTGATGACATATTTGTCCTTGGGGGACCTGAGTCAGCTTCTTCGTCTGGAGGGTCATAAATTGGCTCATGTCGGACTTCTGATCTGGAGGTATTGGTCATGAGTATCTGTGTAAGATCCTCATAGCTGGGGACTTCTGTTTCTGATTCAGTAGTAAGGACTTCAGTTTCAGACTCCTCAGAAGCATGGACCTCAATTTCTGATTCCTCAGAGGATTCTTCAAGCATTATTGGAGTATCTGGAGTTGCAGGAGTTGGAAAGGGTTCTATGGTTAAGCGAGAGTATGGATCTTGGGAATCTTGAAAGATTGGGTCAAATGGTTCTTGCTTGAGTTGGCCTTTTTGGTGAGGGTTGATCATCAAAAGAAGATTCTGAAGAAGGTTGAGTTACTTTCTTTCCTTTATCTGGTTTAGAGGCTACTGGTTTGAACCTAGCCCTATAAGCTGTAGCTGTTGGTAATGACCACGTGGTTTGTGAGTTTGGTCGGAAATGAGGAGGATTTTGAAAAGAAGAATAGGCTGGAGTTGTAGAGAACAAGGATGTATATGGTTGTTTCTCTGGATTTTGTTGCCTAATCTTTTCTTCAATGTAATTATCCATTTCTTGAATCTGAGCTTTGAGTCTCCTTATTTCTCTTTCTTTTGCATGAGATAATTCTCCGAAGACAGTGGTCTTCCAATCTTCTTCTAACTTTGAGATTTCTGCGGAGAGTTGTTTATAGTGTTTTCTCAAAGTAGAGTTAAGATGCTGGAGCTTATCATCAGTCTCCTCTAGATGAGTGGAGATCTTATCAATCTTTTTGTCAATCTTCTATAAGATTGAGTTCTGAGCTCGAGCATTTTCTGTCTGCCAGTTCAGGACTTCTTCTGCCTGACTTAATGGTTTAATCTTCCCATCTGGCCCAATTTCTTGACAAACTACATGAGGTTTAGTCATTGTTTTGGATACAGGGTCGGTGTTCCTTTCTAATGGAGGAAATTCTTCCTTATAGGCTGAAGGTTTTATCATCATACATGGAACGAGAAGAGCTTTAATAGGCTGAGGTAATATGACAGAGGTTCTACACTTTTCTTGTTTAGGGAAGAGGAGACCTTCTTCTTCAAGGATCTCAACATATCTCTTGTATTTCCATAAGGGATCTGGTTCAGGTTGGCGATGAATTCCTATCCATGGGCCTTTTCCAGGTTCAAATTTCCTGGAAGGAGAGAATGGAGGTTTGCAGGATCCTCCTTTGAAGTCATCATCATCATCATCATCTGAGTCATCATCTTCATCGCTAGTGTCTCCATAGTGGTCACAGTGATCCACGATCAGAATCGCACATTTACGGGTCAATATCCCAAATGAAATGTCCCCCTATCTTGTCGGTAAAGATAGGTTTACCATCGGGACGTACTACTTGTTGATTGGGATTTTTCCTTCTTTGGTTACAGGTGTTATCATCATTGGCTGGAAAATGGAGGTGCTGGAACTAGGAGTTTCTTCTGAGTTCTTGAAGATGGTTCTGACAGTTCCATCCACAGATCTTCTGAAAGTGGCTTCTGTAAACTGGATGGGTTTCTGATTAGCATGGAGCTTCTCATAATTAGTTACCCACTGCATCGGAATGAGCTTATGAAGCTCTTGTGCAGAAATATTTCTGGGAATTTGGACTATAGAAGGTGTCTCATCTTGGTTATTGGCCAAGACGAAAAGTGCTCCATCTTTGCAAGATGGTAGGGCAAGATTAATAGCATGATCTTGCAACCTATATATGATTTGATGATGAAGGGTGGTCGATAAGGCTTACGCCACTTGTTCGACTCCGATGTACTGGATTTGTACCTTCAATCTACGGGAGATTGTAGGATCCCTTAAACTAACGTTGAAGTTAGGGAAGATGGTGAGAACTACACTTCCAGGCATTAAGAGTAGTTAGGACGAGTGCCAATGACGAGCATGTTCATAGTGAAGGTAACTAGAGTCTAAAGAGAGACTGCGGTCGAGACAGGTAATCCTCGTCTTCGTGTAAAGAGAGAACACGTCGAACTGCTCCATAGTGGAGATGGGTGTATCCTTCAGTTTGCCAGTGTCTAATAGCTTCTTTAGGAATTTCAATACTGATATATTGCTCTTCAGCAGTGGATGCTAAGGTGCACTGATCCATTCTGGAGGCTTGAACATACTCCTTAACAGGAGGTCTTTTGGTATGAATCAATCGAGTAATGGATTTAAGAGTAGATCGTTGTCTCTTGAAAATATTATAAGGACTAAGGAGAGGACTGTATGTCTCAGAGATCTGAGCATCTTCTGGAATATAGGAATATTCTATAAGATGTTCTATTTTAGAGGAAATAGTTTTTGAAATATTTTCGGGAAGAGAAAGAGTTGAATTTAAAAGAACGGGACCAACGGGACTGGACTCTAGTGGTGGTGTTTGGCTATTCATGGTTTAAAGATTTCTCTTACTCACTTTCCACTCATAATTCTTACTCCATTACATTGAAAATCCAACATATTGAGACGAAGTAGTGACAAGTCTTTCTTTTTTAGTTTTTGATTAAATGAAGGGAAAGTTTTGGTCCTTTTTAATGCCAAGTTCATAAAATATTTACTGCCATGTGAATCACGCTCCCCATCTTATGAGTTGAAAAACTCCTCTATACTATACCGAGTCTTCCTCTTCTTTTTAAATTCAAAAAATTATAGATCCAAGTCTCGTATACATGAATCATATCTAAATAATAGTTGGTGGAACAAAAAAAATATATGATGTATTACAGTGGAGAGATAAAAACACTGTTAAGAAGGTTATAATATTAAATCGCTATGCATATTAGTGTATTTTTTATTTCTGTAATGACGTTATATTTATGATGCCGCTAACACAAATTGCATTACTCTAAAATTTAAAATTATGAGAAGTTGGTATGAAAGATATAGTTTATTTATATAGGACAAAATTCTAATAATTATAAAGTCAATGTAAACTAAGCAAAACAATCATATTTAATCGTCGTATTGATTAAGTTGAAAACTATTTTAATTATATTATTTTTAAATTTGATTTTAAATTAGTATAAAAGTTTTAGCTAATATTTCAAATTCTAAATTATTAAATTAAAGGTATATGGAATTTAAAATAAAAAATTAAGCATACCAAATTATAATATACAAATTTCATGAGGTATATATTCGTAACATGGATACGTTGGTAATTAATTATGTGATTGGTAGAAAAGCGACATTCTTCTCTTTATTCAGTGGCGGGAAAGTTTAATACGTTCTCTTTTTCTATATGTTGTTGGCTTTCCTCTGAAACAATCATGCTCCTTTTCTTCCTCTTTCACAACATGAGAGCAATGAGTAATGGTTGATCAAATTGTGTTTTAAATTAATTAATGAACTTTAATTTAGTTTTATCAAAAATTGTAATAAAAGTCTAATTAAAAATTTAGTTATTAATATTTAAGACACCAAGAACTGATTAACTTTTGGATGTTACAATTTCAATTTCAATCGATCATTAAAAATTTTTAATTCTTAGATTAATAAATCATTATTAACATTTATTTTGAGTGATTCTCTTAAATTTTTTTAGTAATTAAAGAATCAGATAATTTTCACAGCATTTGTGTTGTTTTTTCCTTCCAACCTTTTTCTAATTCTTAAATTAGTTAAAAAATGCTAATCCTAAAGATTCTATATTAACGCTTGTGATTCATATCACTCTTCCTCTCTTTCGCTTGTGATACACAGACAGTGAAGTGTGTGATTCGGAGAAGAACAAGACTGGTGTTCATGTGTTATTTTTTATTTTAAGAAGAAGACCAAGACTCGTATCCTCTGTGTTTTTCAAACCATACAATGGGGACGCGTGATTAACGTGGCAGTCAATATTTATCAACTTCCCATTACAAAAAGACCCAAGACTTTGCCTTCGTTTTATCAGAACATACAAAACATAGACTTCACACAACCTCGTCTTAATACGTACTCAAGACGCTAGATTTTGGATAGATTCTGTCCAGTTGGATTGATAATTTAATATAATAAATAAATCAACGACTGTGATTATTATATCAAATTCTATAAACCCTTTCCATCTCTATATATATGTGCACGTATCAGAAGGAAATAATTAAAAAATTGTCAAACCAAACCATGACAATGTCCGAGGTCGTAGAACATAGCACAGACAACATGTCAGTGGTGATAAACATTGATGATAAGGTTCAGAGAGTCTGCGTGTCCCCTGTCCCGAAATCCTTGAGTTTGGGCAAGCCAGAAGCTTTCACCCCTCACTTTCTGGGCCTTGGACCGTACCATCATAATCGTTCTAACCTCACCATGACCGATGAACTCAAGTTAGCTGCAGCAAAAAGGATGGGCAAAGACAACTGCGAAATCCGCATCTCCGATGTTCAACCTTTCTACCACCAAGATGCCTTCAACTCTTCTCACTACGAGGAAGACAAACTCCTCCGTGATATCACCACCGATGGCTTATTCTTGCTGGCTTTACTTGACTGGAGTCTTGGTGCCCAACCTCAGCAAGACACTTACTTCTTAACGGGAAAATACGGCATGCCCCTAGTCAACTCTTCGAGTGTAGAGTTGACCATGGACGCCGTCGTCAGGGACGTTTTCATGCTCGAGAACCAAATTCCCACTGATATCCTTGAGCAAATCAACAAAGTCATCTGCCATAGCGACGTTCGATCGCAGAATTTGGGGGCAAAAATGCTAAGTTTCTGTGAAAACCACTGTCCACTCGTCTACTCAGAAGAACTCTCCGAAAACGAAGAGCATGATCATTTGTTGGATCTCATGTACCATTTGGTAGCACCTAAGCCTTCTGAGTCAGATACAAAGACGAATGAGAAGGCCTTGTCTTCGGTTAAATCCAAGGGTAAAACGGACAAAACTGTGGAGACATTGAATCCCGATCAGTCCGAGGGTACTAAGTGTTAGTATTATGGTGCTTGATTTAGTCTCACATCGATTAGGATTGTGAGATGAGGTTCTCTATTTTGTTATATAAGCAACCCTATGTAAAGTTTGAGATATACACAGAAATAAAAATACTTCCTAGTGTAGTCGTGGACGTAGGCATACATATTTTAGCCGAACCACGTTAAAATTCTTGTGTCGTTTATTTTTCTCTCCTTCATTCTTTCCTTTATTATTGTCTTGTTCCTAACAATTGGTATCAAGAGCCAATTTTCTTAGTATGCTCCGTGGTTGCGGCTTTGTCCGATCTTCCACATCGAGAAAAGATTTGGTCTTTTTTCTTGGGAATCTCGGTTTAGAGAAGCGAGTGGGAGCTTTCTTCGAAAGCGAGTGAGAGCAATGGCATTGGAAGAAGGAAAGGTGAGGATCGAGAAGTTCGATGGCGGTGACTTCGGGTTCGGAGGATGCGAGATGGAAGATTATCCGTATCGAGAAGAAGTTGTATCTACCCTTGACGAGGCGAAGCCAACCGACATGGAGCGATCGAGAATGGGAGTTGTTAGATCGGCAGACGCTTGGTGTGATCCGGTGACATTAGCCAAGAATGTTGCGTTCAACATCATGAACGAGAAGACAACCGTAGATTTGATGCGAGCGTTGTCAAATATGTATGAGAAGCCCTCTGCGACCAATAAAGTGCATTTGATTCGCAGGCTAGTCAACCTCAAAATGGGTGAAGGTAACTCGGTTACTAATCATATTAGTGAATTTAATGCAATTATTGCGCAGTTGACATCGGTGCGAGATAATATTTGATGATGAGGTGAAAGCATTAATTTTATTATCATCTCTACCGGAAAGTTGGGGTGCAAGCTATTCTGCGAGTAAGTAATTACGCAAGCAATAACAAGTTGAAGCTTGATAACATCCGTGACTTGATCTTAAGCGAAGATGTTCGCAGGAAAAATTCGATAGAATCTTTCGGTTCTAATTCGAGTTCGAGCATTGAGTACTGAAACTAGAGGAAGAAGTCGCCGAAAGGTCGTAATCAAGGCCGAGGCGAGATCAAAATCCGAGAGGGAGATCACAAGCAAAAGTCCGGAATGATATCACTTGTTGGAATTGTCGGAAAAAGGGCCACTTTTCAAATCGGTGTAGGGCTCCAAAGAAGGACAACAACAACAACAAGAAGCAAGATGATGATCAATCGGCAAATGCGACAATCGATGAAGTTGAAGATGCACTTGTTATGTAGTTTAGATAATTCTATTGACTCATGGATTATGGACTCAGGTGCGTCATTTCATACTACACCTTCCTTAGAACTATTATCTAACTATGTTTTCGGAAAGTTTGGGAAGGTCTACCTTGCGAGATGGAAAATCTCTTGATATCATAGGAAGAGGTGATATTAACATCGGAACCTCTAATGGAAACGTGTGGACTTTGAATAATGTCGGACATATTCCAACCTTAAAGAGAAACTTAATATCTATAGGGCAGTTGGATGATGAGGGACATTACACCACTTTTGGAGATGGACATTGGAAGGTAATGAAAGGTAATCTTGTTGTTGCTCGTGGAAAGAAGCAAGGATCTCTCTACATGATTGCGAGATGAGGATATGATATCGATTGCGAGAAGTTGGCAACAATTCCTCCTTATGGCATCGGAGGCTTGGGCATATGAGTGAGAAAGGAATGAAGCTCATGATATCAAAAGGTAAAATACCTAACGTGAAGCATGTTGACGTTGGACCTTGCGAACATTGTATCTTTGGAAAGCGAGAAAAAGGTTAGCTTCTCAAAAACAAGTAAGTCGTCTAAAGTTGAAAGACTAGAACTAGTGCATACGAGATGTTTGGGGGCCGGCTTCAGTGAAATCCCTTGGAGGTTCACAATATTATGTAACCTTCATTGATGACTCTACAAGAAAGGTATGGGTTTATTTTCTTAAAAATAAATCGATGTGTTTTCTGTGTTTAAAAGGTGGAAAAAGGAGGTTGAGACTCAAACGAGGTTTAAAGGTCAAATGTTTGAAGTCCGATAATGGTGGAGAATATGACGATGAGTCAATTCAAGGAGTTTTGTTCGAGAGAATGGGATCGGAATGATCAAGACAGTTCCAGGAACACCGAGAACAAAACGGTGTGGCGGAAAGAATGAACGAGAACCTTGAATGAGAGAGCAAGATGTATGAGAATCCGATCGAGGATTACCCAAGGTATTTTGGGCGGATGCAATAAACACAGCGGCCTATCTCATAAACGAGAGGACCATCGGTTCCTTTAGACTATAAGTTACACGAAGAAGTATGGTCCGGAAAAGAGGTAAATCTTTCACATCCGAAAGTTTTTGGTTGTGCTTCATATGTTATGTTAGACTCTAATAGTAGAGATAAATTGGACCCTAAGGCAAAACGTTGTTATTTCATTGGTTATGGATCTGACATGTTTGGCTACGAGGTTTTGGGATGACCAAAACAAGAAAATTATCGAAGTAGAAATGTTACTTTTAATGAAAACATGTTCTATAGAGACGGGATTGCGAGAATCCGCAAATGTAAATAAACGACTAGAGCAAGTATCATTAGAAGAAATTTCGAGAAAGTGATGTAGTCAACCGAAGGCGAGAATATACAAGTAGAGCCTATGTCGAGCACTGAGATAGAACCTGAACAAATAGTAGAGTCGGCAACTCACGAAATCTTGGTTAGAAGATCTAGCAGAACAATTGTAGCACCACAAAGGTATTCCCCTTCATTGCATTATTTGTTGTTGGTCGATCTTGGTGAGCCGAGCATTTCGTTGAGGCTATGCGGGGAGATGAATCTATTAAGTGGGAGCTAGCAATGGAAGATGAGATAAAGTCCCTTCGAGAAGAATAAAACATGGTCTTTAACCAAGCTACCGGAAGGAAAGAAAGTTTTGCAAAACAGGTGGGTCTATAGGTTGAAAGAAGAACCGGATGGCGACAAAAGATATAAGGCTAGACTCGTAGTGAAAGGGTTCCAACAAAGACAAGGAATTGACTTCACGAAATTTTCTCTCCTGTTGTCAAGATGACTACCATCGAGTTATCTTGAGTATAGTAAGCTTGAGAAAATCTTCATTTGGAGCGGTTAGATGTCAAAACTGCATTCTTACATGGGGATCTTGAAGAGGAAATTTTTATGACACGGCCAAAAGGTTTTGAAGTACAAGGCGGAGAAAATCTTGTATGCAAGCTTCATAAAAGTTTGTACGGATTAAAACAAGCGCCGAGACAATGGTACAAGAAGTTTAATGAGTTTATGAGAAACTCGGGATTTCGCGAGATGTGAAGAAGATCACTGTTGTTATGTGAAGAAATATGTTGATAGCTATATCATTCTTGCCTTATATGTTGACGACATGTTGATTGTTGGAGCTAATATGGCGAGAAATTGACAAGTTGAAGAAACAATTGTCGAGAGAGCTTTGAAATGAAGGATCTTGGTCCAGCCAAGCAAATTCTTGGTATGAGAATCTCCAGAGATAGAGATAAAGGTATTTTGAACTTATCTCAAGAAAAATATATAGAAAAATTGCTTAGCAGATTCAATGTTGGGAATGCTAAAACCAGGAATACACCTTTGGGAACTCACTTAAAGTTTTCAAAGAGGCAATCTTCTCAAACAGAAGAAGAAGAAAGTCACATGTCTAAAGTGCCATATGCATCTGCAGGTAGGAAGCTTGATGTATGCTATGGTTTGCACCGGACTAGACATAGCACATGCGAGTGGGAGTTGTGAGCAGATTTCTATCAAATCCTGGAAAGGAGCATTGGGAAGGAGTGAAGTGGATATTCGAGATATTTGAAAGGCACTTCAAAGATGCATTTGTCTTTCAAGAGAAGTAATCTCATTTTACAGGGGTTTTCTTATGCGAGACTTGGGAGGTGATCTTGACGGTAGAAAGAGCACAACGGGTTATATTTTTACATTGGGTGGTACAGCTATCGGTTGGAAGTCTAAACTTCAAGGAAGGGTTTCTCTCTCAACCACTGAAGCGAGTATGTAGCTATCTCGGAAGCGGCAAAGGAGATGATATGGTTGAAGAACCTTCTAAAAGAATTAGGAAGAGAACAAGATGGTTCTCCGTTGTTTAGTGACGAGTCAAAGTGCTATTTGTCTTGCTAAAAATCCAATCCTTCATTCCGAGATGTAAGCACATTGAATTGAAGTATCATTTTATCGAAACCCGATAAATGATGGAGACTTGAGTTTGTTGAAGATTCCAGGTGCGAGAGAATCCCGTCGATATGTTGACCAAGACTGTTACAACAACTAAGTTGAGGCTTTGCATTGCCTCAACTGGCCTTCGAGCAAATTGATGATGAAGGCACTACACTAGGTGGTAACGTAAATCAAACTCCAAGTGGGAGAATTGTTAGTATTATGGTGCTTGATTTAGTTTCACATCGATTAGGATTGTGAGATGAGGTTCTCTATTTTGTTATATAAGCAACCCTATGTAAAGTTTGAGATATACACAGAAATAAAAATACTTCCTAGTGTAGTCGTGGACGTAGGCATACATATTTTAGCCGAACCACGTTAAAATTCTTGTGTCGTTTATTTTTCTCTCCTTCATTCTTTCCTTTATTATTGTCTTGTTCCTAACACTAAGGACAAAAGACGGACAAACGGATTCTTTTCCAATTGCGATAATAATATAGTTGTGTTTGTCGGGTTCTTATGCTTGCTTTTGTGGTATCTCGTTTATCTCATCTGGCTACCAATTTTTTGGGTGTTACGTCTTCTGTATGGTATTCTTAAAAGAGTGTCATCACTATTTGTGAAATTGTCGAGTACCTGTCTCCCTATGGTTGATAGCTCTTTAGAGGTACTACCCGACATTCATAAAAAGAAACTTTCACCGTTCCTCCAAACATTTAAGCAGACAAATGAAACAATTCGGCGGGAATTCTTGGGGGAAGAGGATGCAGGCCCCGCTGTGACAATCCGATCCGTTAGAGAACTCAAGGGTGCTGGGATCCAATTCGAACCCGCAAAAGGTGGCATCAAAGAGCTTAAATTCAAGGAGGGAACGTGTCAATTCTTTTTGCCAGTTATCAGATTGGATGAGAACTCAGAAGTGATAATGAGAAACCTGATGGCCTACGAGTCATTGACTAGACCCACCTACTTAATCTTCTCCAGGTACGTTGAAATAATGAGAGCTATCATAGACAAACCTGAGGATGTGAATCTGTTGGTGGATAAGGAAATCATTAAGACTAAGTTCAGTAATAAAGTGGTGGCGGATCTTTTCAATGGGATGAGCACATCCCTTAGGCCCACCGACACTCCTGAACTGGAAACAGAGATAAAGAAAATCAACGCCAAGTTCGAAAGAAGCCGGTGGCTGCAGGATGCTGTGACAAAGTACGTGTACTCTTCATGGAAAATTCTGACAGTTATTGCGGCTCTTTCATTTTTGGTTCTGACGGCTGTGCAAACCTATTGCTCTATTTATGCCTGCTCTTCTCGCTCCGCCTCAAACTTTGGCAAACTGCATGCAGCAGATTCGGATTATGGTTTCATAAGTTCTATGTGATGTTTATGATTGCAATTTGAATGCTTGTACCTGCTTGTTTATTTGCTTGCGTCTCCTCCTTACTTAAGAATGAGTGTTATATTTTGATTTGCTGATTTAATCAAGGTTGTCGTTGGGTTTTACGAAGCTAGTCAAATTGAGAGTTCCCTCTCAACTTTCTTATCCTTTATAAATAAAACTATTGTTTTAATATATATATACATTCACAAATTTTAATGGATCATAATTTTATTCTATTCTTTAAATGAATTTATGAAAGAAAATATTTATAAATTATCATTCTTAATATTGAGTGATATCAAACTTACAATACAATAATATATTTTAAATTATATTTATAAGGTGAAAAAGTTAATATAAAATTATTTTATCTCTTAAATTTTATTTATTTATTTTTATAATAATAAACATAATAAATTATCAGTAAATTATTTATTATTATCATAATAGAAAATAAAATAATAAAATATTTATAACTATGAATAATAGTTTTTTTATTTATAATTATAAATAGTAATTGTTTATTTCACCGTTTGAATATTTGGTTGATTATATATTATATTCCCATTTACAACACGTAATACAAGTAAGATTGTTGAGATAAAAATTACAAGAAGTAAGTTTTTACAAATTTAAATAATTTTAAAAAAATGATAGAAAATTACTAATTTTCTTTGTAATATAATAGTTAATTTAAATAATAATAAATAAAATATATTTTTCATATGATAAATACTCGTATTTAATATAATTAAACAAATTGTTTGATTTTATTAATTATTCTAAACATATTTTGTTTGATTTTTTTTATTTTTTAGTATTTGAAAACTAAAAAAAAAAAAATCTAAACATATAAAAGGTATTTTCAGATATTATTTTTTTTCTACGTTTTCAGTTGTTGACTCCTTAATTAACTAGAAAAAAAATGTTAATCAATAACTTGATCTCACATTTGTCATAAAAAAAATCAATTTATCCCCGAAATAATTCATTAGGTTTAGGTAAGGTGATTAAATTTAACATACTTTCAGTACAATATATCTTTTAGTACAATTTGTTTTTTCTTTTTTTCATTGAACGAATGTTTGTTAAAAAATTTTAAAACTATGTGACTTTCATTTTTATTGAATTTGAAGTTTACACATAAAAAACTCTATTAAAAGGATATTTTACTATACTATAAATGTTTTGAATTTAAATAAAATAATTTTTAAATTGATGTGATCCACAATTAAAAATAAGAAAAGACTAAGCGTAGTAAGCCACAAATATTTATAATATTTTTTTCTATCACATTTTTTTTCTATAGTTTTCATATATTTTTTTCCTACTTATGAGTTAGATATTATTTAATATTTGAAGGTTTGACGAATGTTTTAATTAAAAAAAAAGTACGAAAACTCAACTCATACAATGGGGAAGCGTGATCCAGATCCGCATGGCAGTAAATATTGAAGAACTTTCCCTTACAAAAAAGCCCAAGACTTTCCCTTCTTCGTGCAATAAATAGGAAAGAAATCTTAGAAAATTAATAATTATGATGTTAATTTTGATTTTCACCATCAAACATAAATATTATTTTATATTTATAAATATGTTATAGAATAAATGTAAAAATGTATTTGAATTAGGATGATATCCTTTTAGAGTACTATTTATCTTATGGTTTTCCACTTGAATAACACGTTTATTTTCCTTCTAGATTTTCTCTCTTTATGGGATAGAAAGAAAAAAGCAGAAGCTGAGAGCTTACGTTCTATGTGTGTGCTCTTAGAATGGAATCGTGACCCTTTAAATAATCTGAATTAGATTAATTACTTAAGTTTAAGTATTTTTAATCTGGTTCTTCATCAAATCATAAATTACTTTAATGGTCTCTACACAATTTTATTTTCATGACATATGTCTTTAGCCAAAACTTTAAGTTAGTCAAATCACTTTATTATTTGACTTAATAAATAATGACCATAACACATTTAATTATGTATCATATATATGCATGACCCAAAATTTCTCAATAATCTCCTACTCGGTCACAAATATATATATATATATATATATATATATATATATATATATATATATATATATATATATATATATATATATATATATATATATATATATATATATATATATATATATATATATATTTACAACCTTATAAATGTGTTAGACTTTATGAGTTCAAAATTGTCATTATATTTGTTAATATTTTCACTCATGGATTCAGATTACCCGACAATTGTACCAAGTTTCGATGTAGTAAAGAGTTATCGTCCACAGATATTTGTGACTTAGTGATATTGCATATAAGATATGGTTGTCATCATGGATTGAAAGTATGGTTTGAGGCAAACAATTACAATAATTGCAATTTTTGATATATAACGAAAAGTGATTATAAATAAAGCAAATTGAATTACATGCACTTGCTTCCAACTCTATTTCCCAACCATATAATTTTTGTTTTACAATTTCACTCTCAGTATATAACTTGACCCGATTCCTCAAAACCAAGTCCTAGAGTGTTAACCATGAACGTGATTCCTCAACAGTTCAAACCCAACACTTTGCCTTACGAATAAATCTTGAGATTAACGTGATTAATAAACACACTTCTATTCCTAGAGAGGTTGTCTATTAAGCATTTGATCCATTTCCGGTTAATGAAAATATTTTCCAACACAATCAAAACCCTAAGACCTTAAATCGGTTGATCACTCCGAAGAAAGCATTAAGAATAGAATCAAACACAACTGTAGCAAAAAAAATCATATATATGGAGAAATGGTCTGAAAGTAGTTACATGCAATCCAACCCAAAGAGTTTTAGCTCCTCATGGAGGAACCCATTACAAAGCAAGAGAAGAAGGAGAAGGAATTACAACAAAACTTGTTGGATTCAAGTTGATATGCGTTCCCACGAGTTCCTATAGGTCTAAACCGTATTTCCTTCTTTCTCCCCGCGCGAGCATCTCTTCCATCTATTCTCTCGTTTCTTAAATAAAAATTAGGTCTAAGAAGAGGGAAATCCGCTGGTCACCGGGATGATGCGCTGGGCAGATTGAACCCTGCGTGCACCCACTTCGTTTAGAGAAATCCGTTGGGCGCCTTATAAATGCGCTGGGCAGATTGGGTTTCAACCAAAATCCGCTGGGCGCCGCTCGTGTGCGCTGGGAGCCGCTCGTGTGCACTGGGCTGATTTTCTTCTTCCAAAATTTCTCTTTCTCTTCCTTCAAATCCTGAATCAAAGAACAACTTGAGAGAATAGTTACTTGATAAAATCTTCTCATGATTTTTATGCTCTTTAAGATTAAGATTACAGCAAAAAGATGCAAATGTTGTCTAAAAAAGGTGAGTTTCTCAATGAAATTTATACTCAATTAGCTCCTTAACAATATTCTTTTAGCATACTGTAAAAGTCTTGTCCATTGATTATATCTGAATATAGAACCAAACCAACTTTTCATTGCATCAGTCGCAACTAAAACTAACAATGATTATTAATCCTGACATAACTAAATGACATGGATTCATCATGAAATGTGTAACATGAAAAATTACGTGAATGTGATTTGTACACATCTATTTTCAACTAGTCCAAACTTTAACTTATCGAGATCGATATAATAATATTAATGTACAAAGTGTAATAAATAAATGAAAAACCGCATATCTATAGATAACAAAATATATCCAAAAATCAGTGTATACATACATGAAATTAAACATAGAACATAAAATATATGAAAATGATTAACTCCCACTAAACCACAGATTCCTCAAACTGTGGAACACCCATGTGAGCAACATGTGAAGCACTTGTTGGATTTGATGAAGACATATAAAGTTTAGTTTGTGGGTGTGTAGGTAGATATGTTATAAGTTTAGAATTTAATCTCTTGATAATTTCAGTATATCTTGTGATAAGCGCCTATAACTGTTGCATTTCATAAAATTTATCTTACTGCATGAAAAATCAATCTTTAAGCCTTGAAAGAACAAACTGAGTTTTTTAATCTGTTAAAAAGCAGTTTTAATCTGTTAAAATCACTTAAAATAGGAAATGTATATATACAACCAATATTTTAATTGATTGAATCGTAGAATCAACAAATTAAAATGTTCTTGATGGTTTTTCCATATTAAGGGTTCGCAGTATTAATCTGTTGAATTGATAAATCAATAGATTAAAATGTTCTAAGTCATTTTTCATTTTAAAAGTATCTCAGATTTTAATCTGTTGAAATAAATTTTAATCTGTTGAAACAGAGAGCTACCATTTTTCTTCTAACTGTTTCAATCCATTAAAAGCTCGAATAAATGATTGAAAGAGTGTTAAATAAAATCAATCGATTAAAACATCATTTTAAATTGATTGAAAATGTCAGTTTCTCTCTTTTACTCTATAAATATAGTTTTGATTTCTCTTTCAAAAATACAATTTGAAAATCGATTAAAAGCAATATTGGAGCTCTCATATTCGTGTGTTTTTCTGAGCATTCATACACATTTCATATCATAAGGCGTTTGTTCAAGATTGTTGAAAGATCTTCAAGAGAGAAAGTTCCGAGTTAGAAAAATTGCTTCTGGACTTCTATATTGTAAAAGCTGCAGTCCAGGTTTATTCTTTTCATATACTTGTACGAATTCTAATTGTGTAGATTGTGTTTGAATCTGCACTGGTTACATCAATTGGGTTTGGTTGCTGGATGTTTTTTCAAGAGTCTATCTTGTGGTGTTGTAAGGTAGATCTTAGGGTAGATTGGTGTGTATCTACTGGTTTGTATTTTCACTTGGTATTAGTGGAACTTGACAGATTTGTCAAGAACTGGATGTAGCTCTTGGGAAGAGTGAACCAGTATAAACTCTTGTGTTGTATTTCTGCTTTTATCTCTTTTCATTTCTGGTTTATATTCTTGTTTTGTTTAAAACCAAATCTGCCTAATAAAAAATTGGATAAAGATTAATCATTCTTCCACAAAGAAAGCGTGTTTTTCGAAAAAGATTTCTAAGTTCAATTCACCCCCCTCTTGAACTCAACCATTAATTCTTACAACATGCTCATGAAAGACCTTGATCGTAAGTCCTTTAGTTAGAGGATCTGCTATCATGGAGGTTGTTCCTAAGTGTTCTATAGAAATCTGTTCATTCTGTATTTTTTCCTTAAAACTAGAAACTTAATGTCGATATGTTTTAACTTAATCGAGCTTCTATTGTTGTTGGAATATAATACAGTTGATTTGTTGTCACAATATAACTTAAGTGGTCTTTCAATACCTTTCACAATTTGCAGCCCTGTGACAAAATTTCTCAGCCAAATTCCATGATTTGATGCCTCATAACATGCTACAAATTCTGCTGCCATAGTGGATGAGACTGTAAGGGTTTGCTTGATACTGTGCCAAGAAACCACACCACCTGTATGTGAACATATGATCTTTGTTCTCTTTAAATATCTCATGACCCATTTTTGTTGCTTTCCAATGGTCCATTCCTGGATTGCTTAAATATCTGCCTAGAACCCCGACTATGTATGCTATGTCTGGACGCGTACATACTTGGACATACATCAAACTCCCTACAACTGATGCATAGGGAATCTTCTACATTTCCTCAATTTCCAAATTCTCCTTTGGGCACGGATTGAGACCAAACTTGTCTCCCTTAGCAACTGGAGTATCCTCGGATTTAGATTCATGCATGTCAAACCTTTTAAGAATTTTTTCGATATAACTCCTTTGTGATAATCCTAAAACACCCCGAGATCTCGGTGTATCTGAATTCCTAATACAAAAGAGGCATCACCAAGATCTTTCATTTTGAAATTCTATGATAAACATTTATTGGTTTCGTGCAATATGCTTATATCATTAGTGGCAAGTAGAATGTTATCAACATACAAGATTAAGAAAATATATTTGCTCCCCTTAAACTTGTGATACACACAATCATCAATAATATTCATTTCGAAGCCAAATGAGAGAATTACTTGATGAAATTTGTAGTACCATAGACGAGATGTTTGTTTTAGTTTATAAATGGATTTTATCAGTTTGCAAACCATATTCTTTAAATCTCCCTGCACACAATTTTCTGGTTATACTATATAAATTGTCTCATCAATGTTGTCATTGAGAAACGTTGTCTTGACATCCATTAGATGAAGCTCCAAATCATAATGTGCTACAAGAGCCATGATTGTCCTAAAAGAGTCTTTCGATGAAACTGGAGAGAAAGTCTCTTTAAAGTCAATCCCTTCCTGATGTGAACATGACCTATGACAAGGGTTAGAACAAGGGAAGCAAATGAAGCTCTTCACCAAGTATTGTTGGTTGACCAAATTGTGTTTTGAATTAATCAATTAATGGGCTTTAGTTTGATTTTATTGCAAGTTGTAATAAGGGCCAAATTGGAACTTTAGTTATCAGTCTTTGGGAGACCAAGAGGGTGCATAGCTGATTGACTTTTGGTTACCACAAGTTCAGTTACAATCAGCCATTAAGTAGTTTTCAATTCCTAGGTTAATAAATCATTATTAGCATTTATTTTCCTTTAGTGAATCTTTGTAACTCTGATGGCAAAACTTCTTTATAAGCTGAACCATTTTTATCAGAAATAACAAGTTGAGTTTTATTTTCAGAAATATTAGAGTTTATCTCTTTTATCTTAGTGAGAGTGATTCTCCTAAGTTCTTGAGTTATTTAAGAACACTTGGCTGTATCAAAGGACTTTCACATCCTTTGTGAGTTGCCTTTCTTGGAAAGAGTGATTCTTTCCTTCCACCTTATCACTAAATTTCTAAATTTCCTACAAGGTTCCAATCTTAAAGATCATAAATCACCCCTTGTGATTCATATCAGTTGGTATTCAGAGCCCCGATTTAAAGGTTTGAACATTAAATTGATGGCAGGGGAGGATAAAAAGAAAATGAGAGAAAAATTTCTTCAAGAAAAGATAAAAAAAGAAGAAGAGTGAAACACTTGAAGTGAGTGAGAGCTATTTAGCCATAAAAGTGAGTATAATGTTAGTTTTACATTCAATTTGTCAGACTTATCTCTTTTTTATGTAGATGATGAATCCGATTTGAGGACAAATCCTTTTCAAGAGGGAGAGAATGATATGAACATGACCTATGACAAGGGCTATAGCAAGGGAAGTAAATAAAGCTCTTCAACAAGTATTGTTGGTTGGCCAAATTGTGTTTTGAATTAATCAATTAATGGACTTTAGTTTGGTTTTATTGCAAGTTGTAATAAGGGCCCAATTGGAAATTTAGTTATCAATCTTTGGGAGACCAAGATGGTGCATAACTGATTAACTTTTGGTAGCCACAATTTCAGTTACAATCAACCATTAAGTAGTTTTCAATTCTTAGGTTAATAAATCATTATTAGCATTTATTTTCCTTTAATGAATCTTTGTAACTCTGTTGGCAAAACTTCTTTATAAGTTGAACCATTTTTATCAGAAATAACAAGTTGAGTTTTATTTTTAGAAATATTAGAGTTTATCTATTTTATCTTAGTGAAAGTGATTCTCCTAAGTTTTTGAGTGATTCAAGAACATTTGGCTATATTAAAGGGCTTTCACATCCTTTGTGAGTTGCCTTCCTTGGAAAGAGTTATTCTTTCCTTCCACCTTATCACTAAATTCCTAAATTTCCTACAAGGTTCTAACCTTAAAGATCCTAAATTACCCCTTGTGATTCATATCAGTTGGTATTCAGAGCCTCAGTTTAAAGGTTTGAACATCAAAATGATGGCAGAGGAGGATAAAAAGAAAATGAGAGAAAAATTTCTTCAAGAAAAGAGAGAAAAGAAGAAGAGTGAAACACTTGAAGTGAGGGAGAGTTATTTAGCCATAAAAAGTTAGTATAATGTTAGTTCTACATTCAATTTGTCAGATTTATCTCTTTTTTATGTAGATGACGAATCCGATTTGAGGACAAATCATTTTCAAGAGGGAGATAATGATGTGAACATGACCTATGACAAAAGCTAGAGCAAGGGAAGCAAATGAAGTTATTCAACAAGTATTGTTGGTTAACCAAATTGTGTTTTGAATTAATCAATTAATGGGCTTTAGTTTGGT